CGACTCGGTCTTCCCGCCGGCCTCGACCAACGAGGACGTGTACACCGCCCTGGCCGCCCCGGTCGTCGACTCCGCGCTCGGCGGCTTCAACGCCACCGTCTTCGCGTACGGACAGACCAGCTCCGGTAAGACTCACTCCATGCTGGGCACCGCCGATGACCCCGGCCTCACCCCGCGCGCCATACAGCACGTCCTGCGTACCGTCGAGGCCTCCAAGACGCGCCTCTATTTGGTCCGCGTTGCCTACGTCGAGATTTACAACGATAAGATCCGCGACCTGCAGAACCCCACCGCCGCCGATCTCGCCGTGCGAGAGGACAAGGCTGGCCGCGTCTTTGTCGACGCCGCAGAGACGGTTGTCGAAAGTTTGGACGACGCTATCGCCGTGCTGGAGAAGGGGCAGGCGGTTAGGCATGTGGGTGAGACAAAGATGAACGCCCGCAGCTCGAGGAGCCATACCGTCTTTACCCTCCAGATTGAGAGCAAAGGCGGCGAGGGCGTCGACCAGAGCTTCCGCGCGAGCTCGCTTAATCTTGTCGATTTGGCGGGGTCGGAGCGCCTCAAGTCAACCGGCGCGGAGGGTATCCGCCAGAAGGAGGGCGCGCATATTAACAAGAGCCTGCTCACCTTGGGCACCATTATTCACACCCTGTCAGAGCACGCGGGAAAGCCCGGCTCCGTAGGCCATCTGCCGTATCGGAATTCCAAGCTCACCAGGCTGCTGCGCCCCGCCCTGGGGGGGAACGCGAAGACGGCTGTCCTATGCGCCATCACGCCGTCCAAGCTGCACGTCGAGGAGACGCTGAGCACGCTCAACTTTGCGGAGCGCGCGAAGAAGGTCACCAACTCGGCCTCGAGGAATGAGGTTGTGGATTACCGCTCAAAGTACAAGGAGGCCGCCACCGAACTGGCTGTGCTGCGCGATCGCTTCACCGCTATGGAGGCGGAGGTCGCGTCGATACGTACAGGCGGAGGCGATACTGGTAGCATGCCGAATAGCGCCTCGCTGACCGAGGTTTCGCAGGCGCCGTCGGAGGGCAGTGTCAACCTTGCGTCTGGTGTGGACACAGCCAATGCTATTGCTATGTCAGTCGAGCTGCAGGCGTCGCGGGAGGAGGTATCGTATCTCAAGGAGCATGTGGATGAGGTCGAGACCGAGAACGAACACCTGCGCGACCAGCTCAAGAAGAAGAGCACAGAGTTTCGTGGTCTGCGCTCCAGGGCCCTCGAACTGCGTTCGGCGGCCAGGAAGGCCAAGCATAGCGAACGCGCTGTTCGGCGTGCTCTGGTCGTCTCGTTTCGCAAATTGGAAGAGGCGCGTGAGCAGCTCGACATTTCACGGAAAAAGGGCGCCCACGTGAAGATTGCGGAGGGTTATCTTGGAGAACTCAGCGAGAGCCTCAAGTCGTGGCTTCCAGCCATGTCAATAGAAAAGTCGGGAAGCACTGAGTCACTCACCCCGCCCACCAGTGAGGCGCAAGACGACGCCGCGAGCAAGCAAAGTCTGCCGGCCGATAGCCCCGCAGGGCATTTTGCTTCAAGCGTGTCTGGGAGCAAGCGCCGGTCATCATCTGCGACTAGTCGCAATGGGCGGCAACGTATTCATGAGGGGAACACGTTGCGAGGAACGTCGTCTGTGCGCGCAGTGCGTCGAAAGCCGAGACCACTACCGGAGGATATGGTTGCGGACATCGACGATTCCGAGGCGGAGACAGACCATCCTATGCCGCTTGACGATGAGGACGATATCGAAAACATGCACGACAGCGCCGAAGATTTGAAGCTGCCGCCTGGAGATTTGAAGACGCGAATCAGCGACGTCACTCGAGACGTTTCCAACATAGAAAAGCCAAAGAAGAAGCCAAAGGGGTGGAAGGCGTTTAAAAACTTTTATGGCTACGGCTACACCGAACGGGGAGTTTACGACAAGATGATTGCGGGGCACAAGGTGCCTTCTAGTGCGGCTCACATATCCGCATGACCGCCGCGGCTTGCAAAGAACAATATTATTATTGGATGTAAATATGGTACGTTTAAGGACGGCTCTTTCGATAGCTTCGTCCCTCTTGCCGTCTTGGTTTTCGAGTTGGAGCATATTTCTTTCTCCGGGAGTGTTTCACAATCGTTTTAGAGCAGGCGATGTAAACAGCTTTGGGAGAGAAAACCGATGTGCACTTTACGCTGCTGCGCTGTAAATAGTCCATCGACGTTCATAACTAATCCGCTGTACGTAATGCAAAGAGCCAGCCCATGAAAAGGGCGACATTCGCACCGTTGAATCTACCGACGAGGTACTCCCCGGCACTGAGAGTCTCTCAAGCGCTGGTGTCTATAGATGACCATGTGACCTTAAATGAGATCAAATGAGTTCATATGAGGTCAGTTTTCAACTTCAAAATTTAGGCGGCCAAGATTAATCTCTGTTTCAGTTATGTCTTCTGCGCGCTCCACAGATGAGTTGCAAGTCTGGCTACCAGCGTTTCTGATCACCAGAAACGCTCCCTTGCGATCTCAATCTCAATGATTCTTCCGAGATGTGCCGCATCAAGTCGATCAACTGCTTTTATGAATGTCAAAAAATGACGTGATGTTGAGTTCTCTTACAGCCATAGAAATTTTCCGCAGACTGCAAATCAAAGTTTAATTTCTACGGTACCTTACAGGGTATTCAGAGAAGCCGCTTCTAATCAAAAAGACTAAATGGATCACTTGGTTGAAGTGTATTCAGAGAAGCCGCTTGGTTGAAATGCAAGCGCACACAGAGAGAGACGATGAAATTTCGAGAGTTAAATTATTACACTAAACCTGTGAATTCATGTACTTGATGTCGGTGCACAAAAATTTAACGATAAATGAAAGCAGATAATTTTTCAGAATGGAATCAATTAAATCGAAAATTTAGACGTCATTTTGGAGCCATTTTTAATTGGCATACTGTACTGAACTTGCACTCATCAATAGCATCTTGCAGCACATTGGAATTGCAGTTTCGAATTAACTGAAACACCAATGAAGTTTCGGTAATCCGTTGAATTCTTAAATGGATGTATTAATTTCGAAGATATCCATACAAAACGTGAAGGATGCCCGAGAAAGCTTCTTGCCAGGCATTTCTAAAAACGACCGGAAAGGATATGCAGTTCTCACCGATGAATCCTTGCGCAACGTAGAATTAAGTACGTTGGTGAGGATAGTTTCTCCTTATTATATCAGAAAGCACGAGTCCAGAAAATGTAGTTTTAAAGAACCCTTAGTGAGGTTGCTTGAAGTCCTGACATTAGATGCTGGTACTGTGGATGAGCGGTCGTTTTCAATCTTTTGATTTATCATCTCACCTCATCATTGTTACCTTATATCTCTATGTTTTCTTTTCTATGGCCGCTTCCCATAAGGCTGCATAACCCTTATGGTTTTTCTTTTGTTTGTATGGACTTTTTAGTGATTTCATCGTCGTCTTTTGAGCAAGACAATGCTGTACTAAAGAGGTGTTTTATGGAGTGCTGAACTGTTCTCGGGTTAGTATAAAAGGGCAGCCACCAAATCTCAGTAGGTCTCTTTGGCAAATACGAGGTAATTGAAAAACGATGGACTAAGTGCCCAATGATCAGAATAGTTCCACAGTTACTTTAGACACCACAAAAGATTAAAAAATAAACTTCGCTCCAACCTTTCATGGAGAACACAAGGATCTTACGCAAACATGGGGCAAATGCCCAACCACTGCACGTTTCATCAGATGGATGTCAGCTGCCGAATTTATTCGACTTCCGTTTCCTTCCCATCCGCAGCTTGCCCTCGGAACGATATTGCCAGTCTCTTTCTACGTCGTTGTCGATAACGGTCCTGCACGCGCTTTCGCCTGTTCACCGTGGCATCCCCGATGGCATACAACCGAATACGAGACCTAAGATAAGTGTCAGCATCGTCCCTTTGCAAAGGATTGCACATGATGTTTGCATTCGTAAGAGCAACACAGAGCGGAAATAATGCGTCATCAAGCTTCTCCCGCCACCTACACTTAGCTGACAAAACCGCCCACAACCGACAAGCACGGCCAAAAACATTTTCGACAATTATTCGATCGGTTGAAACCTTCTTATTGACGACGTCATCTTCAGCCGATAAAAGCCGACAAGACGGTTTTTTCCGTGGATATATTGTCCGAACAAACTCCAAAGCTCCTTAATAGCACATATCTGCGAGTAGAGCCGACCTATTTGGGTACTTGTATGAAAGATTACCAATATCTGTGACGTCCTTCTCGTCCTCCGTCTTTGCTAACGCCATGTCGTGAAACGGCTTCATGTGCACCATAATGTCGATATCAGAAACTGAACGTGCGAAATGTTCGCTACAGCCTGCCGCAAAACCGTTGGGCAAGACAGAAACCTCCACCTTAAATCCGTATAATTTATGCTTGCCGCTAAATTATTTTTTCCTTCTTGAACGTTGCCGCTCGGTCGGTTAGCTTGTTGGAAGGTAACATCTGTAGCGTATCGAGCAAACTTGAAGAGCTTTAATGCCCTCTTTTCGTCCAGCAGTCGCTCAATGGGCCACCGTTCCGCCTTTTCCAGTACAAAGAGTTCATAGAATCTTGTAGATATCATCAAAATCAAGCGTGTAACCAATCGCTCGAACGTGTCACCCTTCATCTTGAACGTCTGGCGGAGATAATCCCACTGTCCTCCATGTTTGAGAGTAGCTAGGACCATGAAAAGGGCGTCCTTTGTGGTGTACTGAGATCGTCGCCCACGACCAACGTCGTAATTATTGGCCAGGAAGGTGCCGACTTTTCTGTAGAGGTGAATAAACTCCTTGATGGTAAAGTTTGTTAACTGAACAATGGCAGTGCCTCCTTCGTTATTATGAAATGCGTCCAGAATGGGGCAGTCTGAATCTTTCTCCTCGTCAGTGTCCGCTTGTGGCTCGCAGGGATACTGCGCGAGAGCCGCTTCGCCGCCAATTGCCGCATCTGCCAAAATCTGTAAAGCGAATTGTGCATCGGTGGTCGTTTTCGCTTCCATGACGGCCAGAGCGAGATCGGAATGATGATGCGGAGGGTGGTTGGGAAACCGTGGCGAGCTGTCGGGGGAGGTAGGTGTGGTTGCTGGTGAGGTAGGTTTGTTTGATGATGGAGGAGGTAGGGGTGGTCGCCGTCGAGGAAGGCAGATGTGGCCGCCGTCAGGGGAGTGGAGTGTCTCCGCCGTCGGGGGAGGTGGGTGTCGTCATTGTGAGGGAAGGTGGATGTGCCGCTCTCAGGGGAAGCAGGTGTAATCGCTGTCAGGGAAAGTGGATGTGGACGCCGTCAGGGGAGGCAAGTGCGTCCGCTGTCTGGAAAAGTGGGTGTCGTCGCCGTCGGGGAAGGGTATTGCCGTCTCTGTGAGGGGAGGTGAGTGCCAACGCCGTGGGGAGAGGTGGTTGTGATAGCCGTCAGGGGAGGGAATGCTGCTGCCGTCGGGGGAGGTAGATGTGGCCGGCGTCAGGGGAAAGGTGTGTCGCGGCCGTCGGGGGAGGTGGGCGTAGTCGTTGTGAGGGGAGGTGGCTGTCGCCGCCGTCAGGGGAAGTGGGTGTATTCGTCGTCAGGGAAGATGGATGTGGACGTCGTCAGAGGAGGGGGGTGTCGCCACCGTCGGGGGAGGTGGATATGGGCGCCGTCAGGGAGCAAGTGGGTGTGGGCGCCGTCACGGGGAAGGTTGGGGTGTTCGCCATCAGGTGTGGCGAATGGGGCCGTCGTCCGGGGCAGGTTTGGGGGTAGCTGTCATGGGAGGTGAGTGCCATTACGTGGAGATATGCAGGGATGGATCGCATTGTAGTGAGATGGCGTGATTTGAAAAGACCGCCCAATGCTGATGATGCCTCTCTGCGCCCGGCATTGGTGGCACTGCTCATGTTATGATTGACTAGAATGAAATATCAAAAATATTTATAGGAATTAGGGGGAGATCAAATTGGGAGATAGTCTTTCCGTATTTACTCGGTCGTTTCCGTTGCTACCCCCATGGTTACTGTATGGCAATAATATGTGCGTTGTCAATTGACAACTGTTCAAAAGGTCCACAGCGGGTTGCCCTAAAGTTCGGACAAATGCCCTAACCCCCGGACACAAGCTAATTCTGCAAATGTTATTCGGAATCATGATTCGGGCCTTCCTGACCACCATAAAGGGTCTCTCCGGGTACCTTCAGGGCGCTTTCAGCAGTAAACTATTCGTCGCCACGTCATACCGACCTCGCCACTGGATTCCGTGCCTTTCGAAATTGTAGAATGGCGCCTTTTTTCGATGCCAATGTTGAGGTGAGGCTCGCAGGAGCTGTTTCAATGATTTTCGCCAGGGCTCAATGGCCGGTCTGAGCTCACACCCTTGACCGCAATGAAAACCGAATGCGCGGTTTCTGCGTGCATTTTAATAAGGGCATCAGCACGCGATGGAGAAACGTGTTCGACGAGACGTGAGAAAGGACCGACGCGAAGCCAAAGCGGTCCAACTATGCATCCAAGGCGCTATCAGTTTTCGTAAGGCAGCCGCAGAAGCACACATTCCTAAATCAACTCTGCATGATCGCGTTGCGAAGCATAAAAAATCGGATCGAGGAACAAGCAAACGCCCAGGGCGTCAGCCAGATTTAGCGGCAGAAGAGGAGCAGACCCTGGTCGACTGGCTCCAGTATTTTTCAGACATGGGCTGTCCTCTGAATCAAACGGACCTCGTCGAGGCTGTGAACGAGCTTGTGAAACAAATGCCTGGAGAACGACGCGCGAAGTTGCCGTTCAAAGACGGAGTTCTAGGAAAGAAGTGGGTTCGAGGATTCAATGCTCGACATAAGGGAGAGGTTAGATTTGGCAGAGCATCAAAGGAGGAGGCTGTGAGGTATAAGTCGTGCAATAGCGAGACCCTCACAACGCATGGAGCGGCACTGGAAGACCTTTTTGAGAGATGGGGATTTGATGCGCGCCGTGTCTACAACATGGACGAGGCCGGCTTAACGCCGGGAAAAGATGTGGCTGGGACCACAACAAAGAAGACTTCCACGCGCGCTGGCATCCGTGGACAGCACCCCGGTCCGTTTTTTCTCCATGTCGATCGATTAACGTTGATGGCGTCCATTTGCGCGGATGGAAGCATTGGCACAAATATGTTTGTGTTTAAAGGCACCGGTCTACGGACGAGAACGATAAAGAAGAACGGCAAAGTTTTCACTGAGACAATCGCGGATTGCCTCCCACGCCATGCTCTGCTCACAGTACGCCCAGATGTTGCAGGATGTGACAAGGTAAATTTTCTCGAATGGGCCACACATTTTGTCAAAAGCGTTAATTATCTCACGACTGGCGATCGAAAGGTCTTGCTCATCTACGATGCGTACCGCAGTCATCTTGGCTTCAAGGTCCTCCTCACTCTCAAGGAGGTCATTTTGATTGCTTACTGCTTGCCAGCGCACACAAGCGGCACAACACAGCCCGTGGACGTTGGCGTGTTTTCCCCATTCAAAAGCATCTTGAATGATCTAATCTACTCAGTGGCAAGCAGCAACAAGTCCATGGTTTACGACCAATTTGACTTTGCTCGCTTTCTCACGCAGGCCATGCAAAGTTCGTTCACAAAAGAGAATATAGAGGCAGCGTTCAGACGAGCTGGAACCTGGCCAATAAATCCGCTGGTTCTCTTGCAACGCCCACTTCCAGCGACCAGTGACGAAAACGCGAGGCCCTTGTCCGTGACAGAACTGACCCAGAAGCTTGAGGAGAAACGACTTATGATCAGGGGTGGCTTGAAGATTCAACAGACGACACTCCGCGGAGGCTTTATTGACATACAAGTCAGTCTGGCAGTAACCAGTTCTGCAATTTTGGAAAAGGTGCAGGCGCAGGACGTTGCTTATGCACAAAAAAAGGCTGAAGAGGAAAGGAAGAGGAAGGCCAGGGCGGAAAAGGCCAGAGCAAAGACCATCGCAAAAGAGCAAGCGCGCAAAGGGAGGGAAATGAAGGATAACATGCAAAGGGCGCTGATCAACAAAATCCCGCTTGCTCAGTGGATGGCCATGCCCCGTCGCACACTGAAGGAGCGTCGTTACGCCGCAAAGAAGAGGACCTCGGACATGGCGAAGAAGGTTGGGGCATCTTTCCCGACGGTGCCACAACTGTGAGCTCGACCCCCCCCCCCCCCCCCCACCCCCCCGGCTTCCAAAATTAGGAAATTTGAATGATTCTCTATGATAAGCTGTCCCGATTTTAAGACACTTCTGGCTGAAGAAAGGCCTCTCAGACGCTTCCCCAGGCGCTCTCACAAATACGGCGAAAGTTGATCAATCGCGACCAATCAAA